ACATTCGTCTGACTACATTGTGTTGTTGAGAATGTGGGAACATCAGGAGGTTTAATTTATTGCTCTTAATTTATTGGTGGTATACATCAGTGTAACCGGTTTGGAGAACTCGGCAATCCTCAGTGAAGGCGAAGAGGCGCAAACCCTGTGACCCAGTAATTCCCCTTCCAGGACTCTCCTCTCCATAGCCTTTTGCGCAAGCGCCTCCGAAGACATGTACGAGCACGTCCAAGGTCGCTTTGTTAGGAACAGAAGAAAATGTATGTAAAACAGTGCATTTGCCTATGATTACGGAACTTCCCACAATGCACCCGGTCAGGCCTGCTGGATGGATTGGAGAGCCATCGTTGGAATGTTACAGATGCTTGGATAGAAGGAGCTAGGGACTCACGGGTGGGAGTGATCAAGTCTTTCTGATGGGGTTATTGGGGAGGAGGGTATTTCATTAAAGAAGACAATAGTGCGTTTTGAAGTATGAAAGGCTCAGGAAAGGACAAAACAAAATGAGTAAAACGAAGTTCAGGCAGAGGATGGGCGAAGGCATAAAGGCAGGAGATAGCCTGGCACACGGGGACGGTGGATATGGCCTGGCAGGGCTGGGAGGGGGGGTCATAGCATGCTGGTGCGTTGGCAACAGCACAGGACTGACATCAGAAGCTGGGAGATTGGTGGGGGCCAAAGAATGAATGACCTAACACAGTGGTTGGCAAACTGCGGCTCCAGAGCCATATGTGGCTCTTTGGCCCCTTGAGTGTGGCTCTTCCACAAAATGCCACGTCCTGGGCGAGTCTATTTTGAAGTGGCGTTAGAAGAAGTTTATGTTTAAAAAATATGGCTCTCAAAAGAAATGTCAATTGTTGTCCTGTTGATATTTGGCTCTGTTGACGAATGAGTTTGCTGACCACTGACCTAAGATGTTGGACAAATAAGTTGGAACCTCCTTATACCATAAGCAAAAATTACTCTAAGAGCTAAATCTGTAAAACTCTTAGAAGAAAACATAGAAGATCAGCATGCCATAGATTTAGCAACAATTTTATGGATGTGAGACCAAGCACAGGCAACAAAGGAGAAAAATAGGTTCATTGAACTATATTAAAATAAAAAAGTTTTTTTTTTTTATCAGTAAGGCAAATTATCATTTATTTTAAGGATAAATATTTCTCAAACTTGGAGATTTAACTTTGGTGGTCATAATCCTTTTCCAAGTCACTGTTATTTACCAGCCATTTGTTTTTTAACCTTAAACATTCAACGTCAAATTAATCTGTAAAATTAAAATAAACCTTAAAAATTAAAAATACCGAGGAAAAAAATAATTTGGACCTTAATTCTATAGGTCAGCAATTTTAAAACTGAGACTCCTTTTGCACTTTTAACAATTATTGAGGACTCAAAGAGTTTTGTGTTTATGTGGATTATAAGCATTGATATTTACTTGATTCAATATTGAAACTAAGAATGTTTAATATTTTGTTAATCATTTAAAAAAAAACCATTAAACTCATCACATGTTAACATAAATAACATATTTGACTGTTCAATACAAAAAAGTTGCAAAAAATGTCTGGCTTAAGAGAAGATACCTGAATACTCATATCTGTTTTCAGTTTTTTACAATATGTTGTTTTGGTTGAGGTATATATAGAAACTTTTGCTTCACATAGATACGTAGTTGGAAAAGGGAGAAATAGTTAGCCTTTTTAGGTAATTATGGATATTTTTTGATAATGCACTAAGATTTGATAAGTGGCAGTTTCTTCAAGTTTAGTTGCAATGTGTAATCTGAAACCATATTAATGATCATTTGAAACTGTTACATTAAAGCCCATTGGTCCATCTTGTACCTGAATAGATCTTTTTTACTTATATTATACATCATTTAACACCAACCACTGGCCATTTGAAAAATATTGGCTTAATGAGTTATGTGGACCTTCCAAATGTTGATACCTCTCATTATACAAGATCCAAGACAAACCTCACACATTTGTTAATATCCCTACCAAACTATCAGAAAAGTCGTTAAATATTGGGAAACTGTCATTCTCATAGGGGCAGATGCATATTTTCTAAACTTCTAATTTTTGCTTGAAAGATTAAATGATATCATTGCCAGCAAGCACTGTTTTATTTTATAAATATATTTTATTATTTTTTTTACAGTGAGGAAGGGAGAGGGATAGAGAACTAGAAACATCAATGAGAGAGAAACAACGACCAACTGCCTCCTGCACAACTCCTACTGGGTATGTGCCTGAAACCAAGGTACATGCCCTTGATTGGAATCGAATCTGGGACCCTTCAGTCTGCAGGCTGACTCTCCATCCACTGAGCCAAACCTTGGTAAGGGTCCAACAAGCAGTGTTGGAGAGGGTGAGTGCACACACTTTTTAGGGACTTGATTATCAAAGGAAGAAAAGAGCCCAGCTGGTGTGGCTTAGCAGTTGAATGCCAACCCATGGACCAGGAGGACACAGTCCGATTCCAAGTCAGGGCCCATGCCTGGGTTGTGGGCTTAACTCCCCAGTGCGGGGCGTGCAGGAGGCAGCTGATCCATGATTCTTTCTTATTGATGTTTCTATCTCTCCCTCTCCCTTCCTTTCTGAAATCAATAAACATTTTTTTTTAAGGAAGAAAAAAGATAAAAAGGTAACTTGCACCTATCACAGCGTGAGCAAGGGCTTATATTTAGTTAGGATGAAAGAGACTTTGGGTATGTTTTATAAGCTCTGGGGAAGTTGCCGGTAGAAAGGAGAAGATTGAGAATCACAATGAATTATAATCCTTTTCTTTGTCTCTTGCAAACCTTCTTAGTCCTCAAAGCCACAAATGGCTTGGAGAGACAGAGATTCTCCTTGATAGGAAAGGTGTTTTGGGCAAACTTTGGTCTGTGCCTATTACTTTTAAGGAAGGCACTGTGGAGAAATGATGCTCCCTACTGTCCTAGCATTTAATATCACCACCCATCTATCAGAAAAGTTATTTACATTAGGCTCTCAGTCTAAATATCCTTCTCTCCACAGGCTTCCTGTATCACAGCATAAATTCCTATTCTCAACCCTGGCTTCCCCCATGAGGCTCGGAGCTCTGTGACGGTGGGTATCATGTCTGATACTCTGTGTATCCCGGGTACCTAACATGTGGTAAAGGCAATAGGTGTTGCCTGAATGGACCCCTGGGATAGATTCCTTATCCTTGTTCATCCCAACTCTCTACATGGAGAAGGAAGACCCAGGTAAAGCAACAAGACTTGGAAAAAAGGAATCCAGAAAGTTGTGTTAGGTTCCATGGTTCCATGAGGTTTCCCTCTGGAACTTCCTCCTCTCTCTAGCTGCCAAGCTGGGCTGAAAGCAGCCTGTAGACTTGGAGGCGTGCAGACGGCATCGTAATCACCAGCTATTAAACTTCAAAGGGAGAAAAAAATGGGAAAAACATGAGTGGAACTAATTGCTGGCAGCCACAAATTGGTTCCTGGGCATTTTAACTGGTTTCATCGTTGGGTCTAGATGCCACTGGGATAGGTCGGTGCCATGTGTAACTGCGAACTTGGAGAGGAGGCTGTGACCTCACCACATGGCGGCTCCGTAGCCTAAAGGGAATGATTTCCCCTGTCCTGGGTGTTTGGCATAATTATCTGTCACAAAGTAGCAAAAAACAACTCTCTTGTTTACCAAGTAGAGGACGGAAAGCCACCTACCGAGTCTAAGGGACACAAATGAATCAACTCCTCTCTTGAATTGCGAGTCAGGATGCCTGGGGTCAGATCAGGCTCTGAAGCAACTAGCTGTGTGCCCATAGGCCAGTTGCTTGTCTATCATTCAGTATGCTTTAAAAAAAAATTTTTTTTTATTGATTTCAGAAAGGGAAAGGGAGAGAGGGAGAGAGAGAGAGAATCATTAACGATGAGAGAGAATCATCCACTGGCTGCCTCCTGCACTCCCCACACTGGGGATAGAGCCCACAATCTTGGCATGGGCCCTGACGGGGAATCAAACCCTGACCTCCTGGTTCATAGGTCAATGTTCACCACTGAGCCATGCCAGCTGGGCATAGCATTCAGGAGCCTTGCTCTAATGCATGGGCTCATGCATTCGCTTTTCCATGTATTCAATACATACTAAGCACCTACTGTATTCTTGGCACAATGCTAGGTCCTGGGGACTGAGAGAGTAAGACAGAGTCCCTGACTTTATCCCAGTGCACTAGGGGGTAAGATGGAGGAACTGAAAGAATGGGACAGGACCATACGTGGAGGCATGGGATTCAGGAAGGAGGCGAGTGGAATTCCCTGGGAGAAGATAGGCTATGTCTTAAAAGGAGGAGATCTTTGAGTGGTTAGTAGGAGTTTGCCAGGCAAGGAAGTGGAAACAAAGGCCATTCGAATGAACGGGAACAGGGTAACAGAGATACATGAAAAAGAAATGCCGAGAGGACAGTGAATGTTAGGTGGCTATAGTTAGACTCTAAGGGACCTGTTGGGGTCATTGTATCCTGGGCCGGTGTCTGGACATTGTCCTGCAGGCTCTACAGCAGTGGTTCTCAAATCTGAGCATGCACCGGCATGAGCTGGAGGGCTTGACCACAGATGGGTGGGCTTCTGCTCTTGTAGGCATCATTTTAGAAGATGACTACATGAAAACAGATCAGGATGTAGCGATCTTACAGTTCTCCTCGCTACCAAATACCAAGGCTTCCTGGAGCCTGCTGGGATTTCCTGGGTTCTCCTCAGAATGTCACACCGTTTCCCACAAGCCCACACACAGGTGGTACTGATCAGGCTCAGACTGAAGGCACCCAGTCCCTTTGGATAAATCCATGCCTAGCCAGTTCTAGGAAACCTTTTCTTTTTTCTTTTTAAAAATATATTTTATTGTTTTTTTTACAGAGAGGAAGAGAGAGGGATAGAAAGCTAGAAACATCCATCAGCTGCCTCTGGCACACCCCCTACTGGGGACATGCCCGCAACCCAGGTACATGCCCTTGACCAGAATGGAACCTGGGACCCTTCAGTCCTCAGGCTGACACTCTATCCACTGAGCCAAACCGGTTTCTGCTAGGAAACCTTTCCTTCACCTTCGTACACTTCTCCACCTCCAGACAGGCTAGGCTTACAGGGCTCCTTCAGCTAAACCCGGCTGACGTTCTCCCTCCACCGGGAAGGGCTGCCCGGAGGACGGGACGTGTGATTCTGCAGAGCTGCTGGCAAGCGCGCTCTGGAACGGCAAGCTCTCCGCTTACCCACAAGAGAACAATTACTCAGGTGGCGTGGCTAATCCAGCCACTTCCCCATGGGAAAAACAACATCCTGTCCATCTCGTCCAAGGAAGAGAAAGGAGACATCTACTCATTTATAAGAGGAGAGTCCCCTGATGATTGCCCCATGAAGGTTGCTATTGCTGCTGAGTCCTGAGATCAGGTGGAGAAGGGGGAAATCTGATTCTCCCTTTAAGGGATGAAAAAGGTTATTGCGGGCTCCGGTCCTCACACAGTGTCTCCCTCTGCAGCAGGAGGAAGCATTTGCTGACCTCCTCCATGCTAGTAGTGGAGGCAGCTGGTACAGGCAGGGGAAGGTCTCCAGGCAGCGGGGCCAGAGCTGGGCAGGTCAAGTCAGCTGCCACCTGATGGTTTAATTACTTGGAAAACTTCCCTCCCCGGGGTGGTGAGGCCCCAGCAGCCTACGTGACTCACGGCATATGAACTCCTGAATGTCTTAGGAATGAGGCTCGCCTTGGTTTTCAGCAACCACTCAATTCCCCCTGAGGCATCTTGTGGGAAAAAATAAAATAAAATAGAAGGGGGAGGGGATGTCCTGGTAGCAATTCTCAAACCACAACCAATCCCCACCTGCGTGGGACATTCCCAGAGGGTTGCCTACTAGCGGAGAAAAGAAATGAGCAATTCTGTAGGACCTGCCACGCGTTCCAGAACTTTCCTCCCACGGTCTCCTTGACTCTTTTACAACAACCCCATGAGGCAGATGGTGCAGGTGCTGTTTTAAAGTGGGAAGATGGAAGCTCAAAGTCTAAATTCTCCGATGCAGGAACAGGGGCACCGTGCCCAGTCTCACCCCAGCATAGCACGTGCTATCGGAGAGGGAGGCCACCGGGGTAGCTGCCCATCAGCAGCGCTCTGCTCCCCTGCATCCCTGCCTCCCACGCTGACAGTGGAGGGCTAACAGGAAGGGGATGGCGGAGAAACAGGTCAAAGGGGGAGGGTGCGAGAGCAGGGGCAGAGAAGAAAACGCGGTGCAACCTGGATATGGAGAAGGGGTTGGCCTTGGAGGCAGAGCCCGGGCTGGCACCAAGAATGATAGCCATGCTGGTGAAACCTGGCTTACTCCCATTCTCTCCAGTTCCAGAATGGCCTCTCTCTTCCCTGGGACCCATTCATCAGCTCAACAACCATTTATTCAGCACCTGCGAGGTACCAGCTACCCTAATGGGCACAAGGGATACGGCGGGAACCAATCAAAAGCCCTCCTTCAAAGAGCAATAGTTCTAGGGGTTTCTATCCAGCGGCTTCAGGCTGGCTTTAGGCTACTTAGACTTCTCCACTGGGGTGCCCCCTTCTGGTCCCTGTTTATGTGCACCCACACATGTGCACACGGACACGCAGGGGCTTACATAGGCACCCTTACATGCACGTGCAAGTACACATGTGCACATGCCTCCTGCCTTGCAGTCCCCTCTTGTTCACCTCTCTTGCTCATGCACACATGCACTGACACACATACACACGTGTACACACACGTGCAGATGCAGTGACACACAAACACACGCACACACACCTGCTCCATGCTGAGGGTAGCGCAGAGGCACAGGCGGTGGGTCCCAGCAACCCTGGAGGGCACTCTGCCCCCCCCACCCCACCCCTGCCTCCTGCCCCCTGCTGTCAGTGGGGCATGGCCGGGGATTGAGGCCGGTTGCACAGGAAAGAGGCTGGTGTGGAGTCCCCCGATTCCCAGTGGTCCCCACCTTCCCAGCTTCCTCTCTGGGGCTCACGAGCAGCTCAGGGTCCCGCCTGGTGACCCCCATGTCCACAGCGCCCGGGAGGGAGGCAGGCAGGGCTTCCCCGCCCAGACCCGGCCTCTCCGGGCAGATTACTCCCTTCTTTGTAATGATTTCTAGGGCCTGGCCTGGTGGGAGGAGAGGGAAGGTGCGCTCAGCAGTAGCTCTTGGGCAAGGCACAGGTGGAAAACAATTACGGGCCATTTGGAAATAGCCTCGGCCCTGGGTCTGTCGCAGAAACTTGGACTCTGTGGCCTGAAACCAGGCCGAGGAGCCCTGTCAGGGGGTGCGGACGTGTGCCTCCCCGGTGATGGATTAGATGCTCCTTCCTCCCCAGGCATTTTCTGCCGGTTGTTTGTTTGTGTCTGAGCCTAGCAACCGCCTGCCTCTGCCTCTCTGCGCAGAACAGCCCCCGTGAGGCTGCGGCTGTGCAGAGGACAGCGCACCCCGTTCCTTCTCCGACTCAGCCTTTCCCACGCCCCCCAGCTGCTCTCGCGTCACCTCCGCTTCCTGGGCCGGTCAGCACTTTTGAGAGGTTCTCTGAAGGCCATTCCTACCTCTCTGCCCCCTCAGGGAGGAGAAAGAAGGGAGCACAAGGCAGGAGAAGAGCCCCCCCCCACGCCCCATAGGATTCCTGGATGCATTTATTGGCCCCCCAAGTTGGCAGGTTCTATGAGGCCCCCACAAGGTCAAGCTGCGGTCATGCTCTCTGGGTCTGTGGGCTGGAGGCTTTCTCCTTTCGCACCTCCTCTGGCTCAATGTCAACGTCAAGACGCTAAGACAGAGCCTGGGTCTCCTCTTTGGCACGGGCACAAGTCCCAGGAGGAGCAAAGAGAGCTCTTCCCTTGTCCTCCGCCCCAAACACGGCTGAGACAAAGCCACGTTGGAAGCAGAGATGGGAGCTAGCTCCCGCGAGAGCATGGAGGGCGTTTCTCTGCCCTGGGTGCACCTGAGCGTGGAGCTGCTGACCTGCAGTTGGGGGGAGACTTGGCTCCCCTCATTGCCTGTCTTTCAGCTCGTGCCCTGGGAGCCTCCACACGGCACCCCTTTTAGCACCCCCTGGGCCTCTGTTACACATGTGTCGTCACCTCCGTTCAGCAGGGGAGGAGAGTGAGAGCAGAGGGGTGAAGTGACCTGCCAAGTTCATGGATAGCTCTCCACGGGAGAGGCATAACAGGACAGACCAGACCACCTGGGACTAGTTTTATCACCAATGGGAATTTATCTTCCTGGGAATTTATTTTCCTGCTTCTTGCAAAACAGGGGATGGGTTTGGGAATCAGGGTGCCTGCACTCCATCCATGGCAGTCATGCCAATTTCTTTTTTCTTTTTTTGAATATATTTTATTGATTTTTTTTTACAGAGAAGAAGGGAGAAAAGATAGTCAGAAACATTGATGAGAGAGAAACATATATCAGCTGCCTCCTGCACCCCCCCCACTAAGGATGTGCCCGCAACTAAGGTACATGCCCTTGACTGGAATCGAACCTGGGACCTATCAGTCCGCAGGCCAACGCTCTATCCACGGAGCCAAACCGGTTCCTGCAGTCATGCCAATTTCACTACAAACAGCCCTCTTCTGCCTCCTAGATTTCTCTCACCGTTTCCCTGACGTGGAATGCCCTCTTCCTTCCAACAGGGCAGCTCTTACACACCCACGAAGGCCCGGCTAACAAGCTGCCTCCTGCACAAGCCTCCTCCTGCCCCCCTTTAGATTTTCCCCAGCTCCGATCACTCTACACTCCCAAGCTTCCATTCTGTGCTGCGCAATCTAGCCTTCCATTGCATCACTGTTTTGGATCCAGCGGTCTTATTCCATCAGCCATACCGGGAATCTCCATTAGGGCAGGGATCACAACATGGACCTTTCCCTGATGCGCCCCATCGTATCACGTGTGGGGCTGGGCACCAAGCCGGACTCACTGGCTCTCGTCTGGCTAATGGGCCGGACGCTTACTAAACCTGGCCGACTGGGGGCCAATGAGCTCTGGCCTCGGCATCTGGACGGGAGGTACTATTGGGCGTTCCGCCTTCAATCAACCGGCGGCAACTCCTCCTCACTGGGCGGCTGGCCTGCCTGGTTCCTCCAGACTGTCAAGAATGATTGCACCTGGATTACCCGAGTCAGCGAGACAAAGCATAATTGTATTCTCCATTCCCATTAAGATATCCGAGGTGACATGCGGGCGAGGCCCCTAACAAGGCCCAAACTGCATGCGGTGCACACACAGCTAGATAGGAAAGAGCTGCTCTGAAATGGAAATAGAACAAACACACACACACACACACACACAAACAAAACAAAACAAAACAAAACAAAACAAAACAAAACAAAAAAACAGGAGGCGAGTGATTGCTTTTGGGAGTAGTACAATAGTTCTGTTTTCACGTTGAAGAATTTGAAACGGTTCAAATACCTCGTCTGAGGCCAAGTCTGTTTTCCTGTTACCCTCTCAGCACAGGTGGGTGCTCACCCCTGACCTTGGCAGTGTAAACATGCTTTCCCATCCCTGGTCTCATTTTTTTGTCACAAAACCTTGAGAAGGAATAATAGTAACAACAGCGATAAAGTTTACACACTCTCTGCTTAATATCCGCTGTGTGGTAGGCACCATTCCAAGGGTCCTCGAGGTCCAGGCTGAAGAGAAAGAGGCCGAAGCCCTCGAGTGCTCTCTCCCACCTAAGACCCCCCCTTTGGACCAGTTTGGAACATTTACTTGTTCCCATTTTTCCAGATGAAGAGCGGCTAAGACTTTGGGGGTAGAGAGAAGAGTTTTGAAGCCTTCTACTTAGCTGTGATCTTGGCCAAATTCCTTCCCTCTCGACGCTGCAGTTTCCTGCCTGCAGAGCTGGACTGACAGGGCCTCACACTGTTAAAGGAGCCACTTAGGGAAGCGCTCAGCACAAAGCCCGACAGGCAGGGCATTCTCCATCAACAGCAGCTCACATGACAGCGATGGGTAGGTGGCTTGTACCCCGGGTGGAGTTTTGGGGTGAGGGAAAGCTCTGTGGCTAGGGAAGGGGGACTTTTGATTGCA